CCTCTGTCTTTTTACGCGTTGCATCGCGCCGCGTAAACATAAAACCATGTCTGCATTTGTGATCGGAGAAATGACAAACAACAAGCGCTACTCTACACTGCTCAAAACTCACGTTTGAATCGTCAGTGGATAATTCTTTAAATATGAAACCATGCTTACAGTCTGTGAGTCAGAACAGCCGGCATTGCAGTCTACTCTCTCAGGATCAGGACACAGTCCTCCATAAAATGTGCTGCACACATCTGAATATTTGGGTTGAAGTGTTCTGGAACAGTGTTGTAAATACAACTTAACCACTGATTTCTAGTCGTGTCCTCTTTTGGAAGACCAAACAAAGTAGTTTCACTTTCACAACGAAGCACACAGCATCTTCAGGACATGGCGGCGGCAACAATACTACAGCGAGAATAAAAGTTACGCCTTCTTTCTTTGCGTGAACATTTGAGCGGCGTTATGCAAATCTTCCCACATAGTGATGTAGACATGTTGGGGCGTGTTAGAACGAGCCATTTTAGGTAGGCGTGGCTGACTCTTAACTTTTATAAAGAATATCTCTTTGGATTTGAGACTTTAGTCTTTGCAACTTTACAGATCTTCTTTATGCACCAAGAGCTTGTAACACTCCAAAGAGAAATTTAAATCGCATCATATGACCCCTTTAAACTAAATTATTATTGTTCATCGATTGCTCATGTTACTGTTTGTGTTTACTGATGTTAATGGACACAACATTATTGTAAGTGATGCCATTTTTGTTTGTTTTTGTCAAGAAAAGCATATAGTTTTTATTAAATTGGTGTACAGTACTCATCACCTTCACGGTTGACATGGAAGAAGAATGTAATTTGCAGCACTTTAACATCATATTTAGCTCGATAGGTTCATGAGTACAGCCGCGTTTGCCTAAAACCTACCTCAGATCTCTCAAATCTGATGTTTTGCTCTTCTTCACCTCTAAAAGGTTTTGTTGGAAGCACATCAAAACTTCTCAAACAGCAAATAAAGTAATACGATTACAGCCACATCGTTTTTTTTTCTTTTCTTTTTACTACTTTCAACTCTCCTAATATTCAGCTCAGAAACCCCTTTCCTCCAGAGAGAGGCGTGAGTGTTTGCTGAGGCCGTAAACGTGATGCGCTCCGCTTCTGCTGGACTGTCAGTAGAGGGCACTCTGTACTAGGGCTGTGACGGTTGTCTACTGCCACCGGCGGTAGTGCACGTGACGTCACGCACTCTATAACAAGCATAATATGAAGATTTGTATACAAGTGTAATAACAGTAGCGCAACAGTGAACCGTGTCTACACCAGACGCGACACCGCCGCGTCGCAACAGGTCGAGTCTGTCTAGTGTCTACACAGGACATTTGAACTCTGTGTCAGTATCTCATAAACAGAATGAGGCAGTTTACTGTCGGGGATTTGTCATGACATGTCGTGGCGCATCCAGTGTAGCATCACTGATTATAATGAGTTCTATAGTATTTTGTTGCACCTAGTCCTGTAGACAGTGTGTATTTAACTTTCTTATTTAGGCTACTTTCTTGTTTAACTGTATAATTTGTTTGATATTTTTGGTGTTTTGCAGGCTGCGTATTCACTGACTGAAGTGCTAAAATAAACACGAGCTGACGAGTTGAACCGGGTGTGTTAGATGAGGGACAGTGCTGGGCTCCAGGACAGTTTTGAAAACCATTTCAGAGACATGTTCTTAAATGTGACTCATATAAAATATATTACATGCATGCACAGTTTTAAGGCATCTTTAATCGTCTCTTTGGTAACTTCATGATTTAACTGACCACGACATTGCATGCACGTAGTTTATTCCGCGCTTTAATATGAAAGGATACAGGCTACAGCGCGCCGGCGCCTTTGTGCGTGCAATTGAAGAGCACGTGCTGCGAGCACAGTACCTTTTCCGCGCTCGCTTGACTCTGTACTACCCTACTCTGTACACAGTAGAGCCCGACCGATATATCGTTTTGCCGATATTATCGACCGATATGAGACTGTCGCCGATATATCGGTGCATATATAAAATGCATGAAATGGTGTAATTACTTAGTTTGTCCAGCAGAGGACGCTCCATTGTTTGCTACTGGCGACCTGGATGAAACGCTTTAAAGCTTAAGTCAATGGAAAACCATTGAAACTTTGAACGGCCATATCTCCTTATTTAAAACTACAAAAAGGAGACAACAACGGAACAGGAGATGATGACATGCTTTCAATCTGCACAAGGACTTGTACCACGGCAGATCAACATTGATTGTTGCGGACAACAAGTGATGTATAATGCTATGTAGTATAATAAATTATAAGACACTTGTTCTTTGCTTTGTTTCATTTTATATAAGAAGGTGTAACGTTAAAATATATTAAAGTGCACATAAACACACACAAAACTCAAGTACATATGGAGGGAGGGGTTCTTGCAGATCAATCACAGCACTTGCGGTCTGCGTAGAATTGACACGCTGTTAGATTTTTGGAGAGGTGCATGTCGGGCTACGGCGTATGGGTGTGCGTCTATGCATAAGCTACGGCGTAGGTCCGATGCAGAAGTATAAATCAGCCTTTATACAGCATCACACATGCTGCATCTGTTGGTTTTACATGCATAAATGACCATATTGTGTTTAAAGAAAATAATACTTTTGTTAAGCAGCAATGCATTAAATTGATTGGCAATTAAATTGGCAAATATATTTAATTAATTTTTATTTTTTTTATTTTCAAATAAAATAATGGCGTTTTTTAAGAATTACAAATAATCTGATTTTGGAGTTTGGCAATGAACACACTGCAGCCATGCTTGGGACGGCCCACATAAACGAGCAAAAATGCATTACTATGCATAATAATTTCTAAACATTGACTGTCAGCCTTTATTCACCTGTTTCTCGTTGTTTCTCATTAAAATGAATTAAAGTAAATAGTGTAAATTACATCGCTAATGTCATAAAATACCAGCAACAGTGTGTGAAAACCTTGTGAAGACTTACAGAAAACGTTTGACCTCTGTCATTGCCAACAAAGGGTATATAACAAAGTATTGAGATGAAATTTTGTTATTGACCAAATACTTATTTTCCACCATAATTTGCAAATACATTCTTTAAAAATCCTACAATGTGATTTTCTGGATTTTTTTTTCTCATTTTGTCTCTCATAGTTGAGGTATACATATGATGAAAATTACAGGCCTCTCTCATCTTTTTAAGTGGGAGAACTTGCACAATTGGTGGCTGACTAAATACTTTTTTTCCGCACTGTATATTCTGTTTATGTATATACTGTATTCTATATATAGTACCAGTCAAATGTTTGGACACACGAATGGGAAAGTGTCCAAACTTTTGACTGGTACTGTACTATAATATACACAAAGAATATCGGCCGATATATCGGTATCCGCCTTTTTTTACTCCCTAATATCGGTATCGGTATCGGCCCCAAAAAACCCATATCGGTCGGGCTCTAGTACACTGTCCTGCAGACGATGTGTCCTATCTAGGACGAGACACAGCTGTGACACAAGTGTGTGTGTGTGTGTTTCAGGGTGGGTTCTTCGAGGACTCTGCCGTGTTCTCGGGTGGCTTCTGGTCTCAGGCGGATCCGCAGGCGTCTCTGGGCTCAAACCCTCGCGGCCGGGTCAGCAAACCCCTCTCTCCTCCACCGCCACCCTCCCAGAGCCTCAGCAGCCAGGTCTGACGGGCCTTGTCGCGGTTAAGCGAAGCGCGTCTCTGTGCTTCGTTAACATCTGTCTGTCTGTGTCCTCAGATGCTGTTCCAGTTTCCTGCCAGCGAATCACAGCAGCCATCCTTCTTTGTGGGCGGACCCATGGTGATCGACAGCCTGGCTGAGTCGTGCCAGCAGGCTCCGCCCCCCGCTCCCCTAACCCCGGCCCCGCCCCCTTCCACCCCAGCATGCCTCGCAGGGCCCAGCTTCACGCCGCAGGGCTCAGAGACGTCCTTCGACTGCAGCCACTGCGGAAAGTCACTGCGCTCCCGCAAGAACTACAGCAAGCACATGTTCATCCACTCCGGTACGCATGCATGCGCTTCAGTGACCCCAACAATACCAGAGTAATTCAGTTCATGTGAACACACCTTCTGTGTAGCACAGGTCACACAGACACTCAAGTAAACTGCTGAATTGATTTTTTCTGAATCAGATCTAATTAGCTGCTATCTGGGCCGCCAGCATTACTAAACCAGTGCCCTTGTACTACACATCTGCAGTGTGTTAAACCTGCTGCAGGTTCAGCATGTGTATGAAGAATGTAAAGACTGAACATGAAGTGTGTTCATGTGTGTTCAGAGTAAATGATGCTTGTGCGTGTGTGTGTCTGCGTGCGTGTGAGAGTATGTGTGTGTGTGTGTGAGAGAGTGTGTGTCTGTGCGTGCGTGTGTGCGTGCGTGCGTGTGCCTGTGTGTGCGTGCGTGTGTGTGTGTGCAGGTCAGAAGCCGCATCAGTGCAGCATCTGCTGGCGCTCCTTCTCTCTGCGTGACTATCTGCTGAAGCACATGGTGGTGCACACGGGTGTGCGTGCGTTCCAGTGCTCCGTCTGCAGCAAGCGCTTCACGCAGAAGAGTTCTCTGAACGTTCACATGCGCACACACCGTGTGGAGCGCACCTTCACCTGCAGCGTCTGCCACCGCGCCTTCACCCACCGCATGCTGCTCGAGAGACACGCCCTGCAGCACCACACGCCCGCCAAACCACCCACCAATCACATGGAACAGGGCGGGGCCAGCGGACCCGCCTCCGCCTCCTAGAGACAGGGATGACTGAAGAGAGGAGAAACAATCAGATTGAATACCAGGAGCTTTAACACACACTCACAAAGACACACACACACACACACACACACACACACTCTCTCTCACACAGACTCGCTCTCTCTCTCACACACACACTCTCACGCACAGATACTCTCTCTCTCTCTCTCTCTCTCTCTCACACACACA